CAATAGGCAGCATAATGATAGATGCAGTAAAGATTGAAGTTAACAATTTCATCTCTCTTGGCTCTACAGTCAACACCCTTAGCATCAACAATCAGGAAATCAAAAGATGAATTGCATTGAGAAAATCTGCTGTCAAGGATCTCTCCAGAGTGCTAAATAGCAACAATGTCAGTCTAGAGACTAAGGCCATCGTGTTCTCAATTGCTTGCTATGTAACTGAGAGCTGGACAATGACTAAGGATGACATAAGAATTGGTTCCTTTGAGTTGAGGTGCTGGAGAATATTGAACATATCATGAACTTCCAAGAGGACAACAGATCTGTTCTGGAGAGGGTGAAACCAGAGTCCTCCTTGGAAGCAAAGATTTTGAAATTCCATCTCACATACTTTGGGCAGGTTGCCAGGAAAGTACAGTCCTTAGAAAAGGCCATCATGCTTGGAAGGGCAGAGGGTCAATGCAGGAGGTGAAGACCCTGGATAAGATGGTTGACACAGTGACTGTGACAATAGGGTCAGGTGTGTCAGAGGCAGTAAGGTTGACTCAGGATTGGGCAAGGTTCAGACCCATTGTTCATAGGATCATTATCAGTCATAGTTGATGACATGACAACGTGGACAAAATAAAGGAGTCACATAGTAGAATAACCATTGAGCTGCTAACCAAAAGAAGCTCTTAGCTCAACTCCTCAACCCCTCCACAAGAGAAAAATGAGACAATTTGCTTCTGTAAATATTTACATTCTTAGAAAACCTCCAGGGCAGGTCTACTCTGCCTTACATGGTTGCTTTGAGTTGAAATTGATTCAACAGCATTGAGTTTGGATTTTTTTATGTGGAAAATAAAGTGATGCTAGAAGCATCCATACAATAAGGAAGTCATTGTAAAAAAAATGTAATTGTAAAGTACCAAAAAGAACTGGTGACATTCAGCCATTTCTGAGTATGATCAAGAACTGATAGAATTAATGAAGTCCAAGTTTCAGTGAAGATACTGGTGAAAAATAAGGTTCTAGGAATTGATGGGACACTAATGTGGTGTTTCAACAAATGGATGCAGTGCTGAAAGTAATCACTTTTATCTATGCTAAAGAATTTGCAGGACAGCTACCTGATCAAGCAACTAGAAAAGACCTATATTTGTTCCTAATCCTATGAAAAGCAAATGCATAGAATGCAGAAGTTCTTGAATATCACACTTAAGTAAACTTTTGCTGATGAGACTTTAAAAACTGTTCAGTACCACAGTGAGGAACTGCTAGAAATTCAAGCCAAATTCAGAAAAAAGATGTGAAAGAAAGAGTATTATTGCTGATAGCAGATGGATCTCAACTGAAAGCAGAGAATGTCCTCAACTGAAAGCAGAGAATGTCAGAAAAAATCTTTATCTGTGCTTTATTGAATATACAAAAGCATTCAGCTGTGTGGATCATAATAAGTTATAGGTAACATATTACAAAGAATGGGAATTCCAGACATTTAATTTTGGTTTTGCGGAACCTATGCAAAGAACAGGTCATCTGTGTGCAGATTTGAACAAAAGGATACTGTGTGTTTTAAAGTCAGGAAAAGTATGTCAGTGTTGTATCCTTTCTCCACACTTATTCAATGTGTATACTGAGCAATCCAAGACTATGAAGAATGGAGCATCTGCTGAAAGTGTAGGACTCATTAACAACCTACAGTGTGGAGACATTGCTGAAAGTGAAGAGGACTTGAAACACCTACTGAGGAAGACCGAAAACTACAGCTCTAATTGTGAATTATATAAAGTAAAAATTCTCACATTGGATTGAAACAAACAGCATCATGCAAACAAGGATTATTATCAGGATTTCTTCCTACTTGAATCCACAATGAATGCCCTTGGAAGTAGGAGTCAAGAAATCAAAGGACAAACTGCATTAGGGAAAACATGCAAAAGACTTTTCTCCCACGTGTGAAAATGTAAAGAAGTCAATCTGAAGATTAAGGTGTATCTAAACATAAATCATATTTTAAATTGCCACATACTTGTTTAAAAGCTGAACAACAGCTCTGCTGACCTGGTGGCAAGGAACTGCACTGCAATGCCAAAAGCTGAACAATGAATAAGGAAGACTGAAGAATTATTGCTGCATTTAATGTTGTTGTTATGTGCCATTGAGTCGCTTACAACTCATAGCAACCCTATGTACAACAGCCCTAAACCCTGCTCTATCCTGTGCCAGTCTTACTGTCACTGACAGTCCTACCCCCATTAACCAGTCTATATCATTGAGAGTCTTCCTCTTCTGCTCTGTCCCTCCACCCTCACAAGCATGACATCCCTCTCCAAGAACTGATCCCGCTTTGCAACATGTCCAAAGTATATCAGAAGTTTCAGAATCCTTGCTTCCAAGGAGCAGCCTGGCTTCACTCTCTCCAGGATGAACTTGTTTGTTCTCCTAGCAGTCCAAGGTATATTCAATGCTGACTATACTTTGGACTGCAGGAATCATCAATAAATCTCTCTCGGAAGAATTGCAATCTGAATGCTCCTTAGAAGCAAGCATGGTTCACTTAATCTCATGTACTTTGGACATATTATCAGGAGGGACTGGTTCCTGAAGAAAGACATCATGCTTGGCAAAGCAGAAGGGTAGCAAAAAAGAGGACGCCCCTCAGTGAGGTGAGTTGGCACAATGACTGAGATAATGGATTCAAACATAGCAATAATTGTTGAGGACAGTGCTGGACTGAGCAGTTTTGTTGTTGTGTGTGGGGTTGCTATGAATTGGAACCAACTTGACAGTACTTAAATTTTGTACATAATCCATCGCAGATGCAGTTGTTAAAAACAAAGAGACCAATTCACTACCATGGAATTGGAATTGATTCTCGCTCATGCTAACCCAGAATCTCTGGAGACTGCACCTCCCTCGTGGTTTGAATCCACAAGTGGTTATGTGGGAGAAATATTAAAAATAATCTCTCATGCAATTTGCACCTTTGGAAATCCGATAGAGGGTCAGCTATGATGAGTAGAAATTGAGATCATGATCCCATGATAGATGAAGACTGAAACAGTCAACAACTTCATCTTGCTTGGATCCACAATCAACATCCTCGGAACTAGCAGTCAGGAGATCACTGGGAAAGTCTGTAGTCAAGGACTTCTCTCAATTACTAAGAAGTGATGATGTCAGTTTGAGGACTAAGATGTGCCTGATTCAGGCTATGGTCTTTTCAATAACTTGCAATGCATCTGAGAACTGGACAATGAATAAGGACAGAACAGATGCCTTTGAGTTGTGTTAACTGTATATCTCATGGACTGCAAAAGTACAAACAAATGTGTCTTGGAGAAAGTGCAGCCAGAGTGCTCCTTGGAGGTAAAGATGATAAAGCTTCGTCTTATATACTTTGGGTATGTTGCTAGGAGAGGTTATTCCTTGGAGAGGGGCATCATGCTTGGAAAAGGGAAGAGTCAGCCAAAGAGAGGAAAACCCTCCACAAAGAAAGAGGGAAATCTCCTCTCACACGACTTAGTGCCTCTGAAAATCTACTGGAGTGGATCATATCCAATTCTACAGTACCTAACAACAAATCTTTACAGAAGCAGACTGCTTCATTTTTCTTCCATGGGAGTGGCTGGTGAGTTCAAACTACAGCATTTTGGTTAGCAGTTTAATTATTTAACCATTGTGCCCCAATTATACAGTATTCAACAACTCATTACAAGTTGGAACCAACCAACTCACAACTGACTCTCTGGCAGGTTTTAGAGGCTGTAATGGCATAGGAGACTTTGCTGTTTTGGGTTGGCAATGCAGCCCTTACTCACTAGGCACCTGGAGGTCTCTATTAGATCTAGGAAACTGACTTTGATACAGTCTATCCTGATTGCTCTTTAGAGATAAGGATGGCAAAGCTCCATCCCTCAGACTTTGGACATGTTGCTAGGAGAGGTTATTCCTTGGAAAGGTAGAGGGTCAGTGAAAGAGAGGAAGACCCTCAATGAGATGGACTGATAGTGACAGCAACAATGGGCTCAAGGATATCAGAGATGATGAGGATGGCACAAGATAGGGCAGGGTTCATATCTGTTTTGCACAGGATCACTAAGTCTTATTCAACAAAACAGCACCTAACAAGTAGATAATTAGTGCTCACTCCAACAGCCCAGAGAACCAAGTCTGACTTAGCAATAAGCGCAGCAGTTTGGAGCCACCTATAGTGTACATTCACTTTAAATGTCCCAAAGGCTCATTTTGTTCCAGAATAAAGCTTGACAGTAAGATGATCTACTTACTATTGTTTTGTACTATCGAACTGGAACCAATCTATAGCTAAACCTCCATATTTTCAGAGGCAGTAAATGACATGGGAGGAGACTGCCCATCTTTCTCCCACAGAGAAGTTGGTAGATTTGAATTGTGTATTATTGGGTTGGCAGTGCAATTCCTTGCCACTAAGCCACCCGAGCTGGGATAGTAATATACAAAGCCAAGAAAATGTACTGCTTTGTAAAACATCATACTATGTGTATACCCAAATAAAATTGCTTTTATGGGTTCCTTCCTATTTTAATATAAATCTTATGGAACAACTATTTGAGTTTACATAGCCTCACCACTTCTTAGCACGGATTTCATATAATTGTGGTTTACATTTTGAAACCTTTAACTCTGCAGTTATAATTCTGCTGGAGTGGTGCCGGCCGTTAAAACGTTTTAGAGTAAATTTTCCCTTTTTATTGCATCATACTGCCATCTGCTGGTTCAAAAGAACAGCAGCCCATAAGTTATTATTAGTACATCAGTTAGAAAGTGGTAATTTCTTGGCTTTTAATTAAGAATTGTATTATAAACCATTATCTACACAACTTCTTATGCAGCTAGTCCACATATTGGGAAACCATGATAAATCTATGTGTTCTATTATCCCCCATCCTAAAATACTTTGGCAAATCCCAGCTGTATTCCTAGATTATTAGTTACAGTTGCAGTTACTTAAAAAAAAATAAACAAAGGCCCAATACACCAGCAGATCAAACAATTTTATTACATAGTTGTCTTTTAAAATCACAAAGACACTATGTTTTGCATATAAAAAAGAGTAGTACAGGTATCTTATACTTTCTAGAAAATGATTACATAGACCTTTTCAAAACCAAAATAAAATAAAACAAAAAACAAACCATGAACCCCACTATATAGTTTCAATTATGTTTCCTGGAAAAAAAAATTCTCATCTGGACTGATTCCTAAAACATATCATTCTACCACTCGGCCATTTCTTGGTTCAATGTAGGGATTACTGTCATTCAGTTTTATGCTCCTGCATTCTTACAAAGTTGATATTACATATGTAGACTAGTTATCACTTAATGTTCCATGGGTTCGTCAGCTTTCTCTGCAGGTTCATCAGAAGGTTGAGCAGGCTTAAAAGGGGAAGAAAAAGAAAAGAATTATGTTAAAAAAATAAGAGACTATTTGCATATGATTAATGCATGATTAAGCAGGAGTGGCATGCACTTCCTAAACAACATGCCTCTGAAAACTCTAGAAACTTTGATAAATGCTGGTAGTTGTAAAGTGGCTTCAGGCCTTTTGTTCATAGGGTCGCTGTAAGTCATACTTGACTTGAATGCAATCAACAACAACAGTCATAAATATTATAAAATGATTTCTTATGTGCTTTTTAAAAAGTGTGTCAAGAGATATTCTGGATAACCAATTTTAGTTAATATCCTGAAGAATTTCTGAACAAAGGTATATTTTATAGATATAAAATTACTGTTCTGAAAAGCTTTTGAAAATTTATTGAGCAATTCTAGCAATTTATCATACTTTGTTCTTGTGCAAGAGTAATGGCATTCCTTAATTATCACTATTAGCCTTAAAATACAATCAGTCCACATTCTCATCCCTTTTACCACCACCAAAAATAGCAAAAATACAAGCAAATAAATGTGTGTGCAAGGTACTCACTCAACATTCTTCCTAAATAGTGTTATAAATAACAGTAGTTTAAATGAGTCAAATACCCCCAATCTCTTTAAATTGTTAAGAATTCATGCTGTAGAAATTTCTGCACAAAGTCCTCCTTTATTTTACATAACTAGCAAATAAGCATCAAAAAGTAGCATATGTTTATCTCAAACATCCAATGAGACTCTTTTTTTTTTAAATTTCTTTTTAATTTTATTATTTTTATGTGCGTGTACCGTCAAATCAGATTTGACTGGTACAGGAGGAGATTTGTCCCTCCTTTCCCGGCAGAGCGTCTGGTGGATTCGAACCGTGCACCTCGGGGATTGTAGTTGCAGCTCCTTGCCACTAGGCCACCAGAGCTCCCCTAATCCAATGAGACTCTTAAGCTGAGGTTCACAAACACTTCTTGAACCTACTGCCATTATGAAGAATCAACTTAGTCTCCAAAGCTGGTTCTCAATTAAATACTTCCAGCCTCCACTCACAGAGAAATTTGGGTTAGGTCAGTGACTCACTTTAACTAACAGAATGTAAAGCAGAGAAGTGCCAATCCAGAGCTTCACCTGATAAAAGCTTGGCAATGTTTACTTTGGATCTTTGGTAAGCCCTAACATTAAGCTTGCCATTACGGCCGAGGTCCTGGCCCTCCCCCTTTTGAGACCCCAAGTGAGGTGTGAGATCAGAAGGGGGCTGGGGGAAGCTATCCAGTCAATCCAAACTGTGAAAATATGGTTTGCTGTTTTATGCTCCTAAATTTTGGAGTGGCTTATTATAATGCTACCCAAATTACCAACCTGTTTCCTCCTTTTGCATTCATGGAGATGACTTCTCTTGCAATATTTTACTTACCCAGTTCATATTTTTTCTACTGCCACTTGAATGATAAGAATTAAAGATGAAAATGGGATATTTGCAGTTGTTACAGGAACAGTAGCGTCAGACAGCAAGTCCCCTGTGATTACAGTTAGTTATTTATATACCTGGGCTTTTCTCTGTGGTCTTTCTTCAAGACCTTCAAGGAATGGAGACACGTCATCGTCATCATAGATCGTAAACTCCAGGTCCTTACCAACAATGCCAATGGAAACATTCTGTGGGGGAGGGGAAAAAAATCAAGAGAACTCAGGTTTGAAAAACACTGAAGATAAAATTTTGGATTTTTTTAAAAAAAACCTTGTCATTTGCAGATTTAGTACCAATTGTGATTAATCTGAGTAACTTCTGAAAATTAGCAATTTAGTGGACAGTGTTAACTTTGTAGAGATCTATGTGAGGTGGCAAGTCACTTAGCTAGAGGGAGGCCTAGCTTCTAAGATATAACTAAATGCGTCTCTTTTGTTTAAGCTAATAAATTACTGATTCTTCAATGGGAAATAAGTTTAGGATTACAGCATGTTCTGGGGCTTGGAACTGTATTTTACAAAGAAAAATGAAACAGCAATTATTTAAATGTCTAGAAGATAACTCCTGTGAAACAAAAATTTTAGTGAAAACTTGAAGTGTAAGGACATACTGGCCATTTTCCATGATTTAGTAAAAATATGTAATTAGGAAACTTGATATCAAAGCAACCTTTTCCAAATTATGACTATCAATAGTCAATCGTACATGCAAATACAAAAGCTAAATTGTTTTGGGATAATAGTATAATAGGCATTTTGAACAAATAAAAACAATTACATGGTTCTTTTTAAAAGGATAGTATTTTTTTCTATTTTAAAAGAATTATATAGACTATGTATGTTCACATAAATATTAAATAGTAATACTACAATCCCTATAAAAAATGGCATTTATAACAATGACTAATCACACTTTAATTAAACCTGAAGGAGGCCCTTTGTGGTTTCTGGATCAAACTGTAAAGTTCTCTAGGTCACGCTTCTGGACAACCCTAACACTCTCCATTCTCTGTGCAGTTCAGAAGCTTGCTTCTATTTGACAAACAGAGGCAACTGGAAGAGAACTGTAACAAGTTCCCAGTGTATCCCTCTCTTTCCTTATCTAGACACATTTCATTCCTTTTATTGTTATTAATAGCCCAAGTTCCTAAGACCAAACTCTCTACCTACTATTCAAACAGCATTGCTCCAGAAGTTTCTCTGATTTCTTAAATTCTTTTATGCATTCATATATGAATGCTTTACAATGAATTATTCTCATAACCACGCAGAAACACACTGTTCCTCCCCTTTAAAAAGGAAACAAAAAAACCTCTTACTACATCTTTTTCTAGTCACTATCTTATTTCTTTGGCTTCCCAATGGAAATCTCCTCTAAAGAGTTGTCTTCCATTTCTCTTCTCCCACTTTGTCCATTTCTACCAGGCTTTCGCTCCACTATGACGACTGTCCTGTCACGTCCTCATGACTGTGTCATTGCTAATAATGGTTAATTCTCAATCTGCATCTTCCTTGATTTGCAATTTTTCACAGTTCATCTTTCCTTCTTCCCAGTTTCTAAGGATACAAAACTTTCCAAGTTTTCCTCCTACTTCTCCAGACATCAGGCTTGTGCTGATACTTCTTTCCTCACCTCTAATGGTTAGTGTGTTCAGAGCCCAGTCTTCAAATCTTGTCCTGTCTAGTCCAGTCTTATTCTTCTAAATACTCTTTCTACATAAAAAACCCTCCAAAGCATAGGCTAGACATCATTATTCTCTGAACCACAGGTAGTTCATATTTACCTAAATCTCCAATGAGATAAACATTTCAAACTTCACATGTCTAAATCTTACTTCCTGTAGTCCCATCTTCCTGTAAATCACAAATCTCTCCTCCTAGTTAATCAAGTCAAAGACACTATCCCTTCCCCTCCAACAACTCACAATTTGTTAGTAAATCTTTTCTTGGCTGCAATTTTAAAACACCCAAAATTGACCATTTCTCTTTATCTATTACTCTGCTGGAATTACTGTAACAACCTTAAAGCTATTTCCACATATGTTCCCACTATAATCTGTTCTCAAAATACTCTTAAAATCTAAATCAAATCATGCTTTTCATTCCTCTGCTCAAATCTAACAGCCTACTCAGTAAAATCCAATGCACCTACAATGGCTAACAGGAAAAACACGATCTGGCCTTCACTACCTTGCTGACTTCTTTAATCCTCTTTCTCTTGCTCACTGACTCCATTACTGGTCTCCTTGCCTTGAACAGACCAGTCCTCGACTCTCTGCATTTATAGTCTTCCTACGTGGAACGACTTTGCTATAGATATCAGCATAGCTAGTTCCCTCATCTCCTTTAGGTTCATGCTCAAATTTCATCTTATCAGGGAAGCCTTTCATGATCCCCCTACTTTAAATTACAACATACACACTAGTTAAAAACTCATGGCTATGGAGTTGGCACTGACTCACAGCTAACCTTCTAGTGGGTTTTCAGTGGGCAATAAATAGCACGGGAGGAGAGTGTCCATTTTTCTCCCTCAGAGAAGCTGGTGGATTTGAACCTCCTGACTTTGGCTTGGCAGCACAACTCCTTAACCACTAGGCCACCAGAGCTCTCTACACATTAGTTACCTACATTCAAATGGTTCTTCTTTTACCTCTTATTTTTGCCCATTGTTGTTGTTATGTGTTGTCGAGTCGTTTGCGACTCATAGCGACCCTATGTACAACAGCCCTAAACCCTGCTCTATCCTGTGTCAATCTCACTGCCTCTGACACACCCATCCCAAGTACCCCAGTCACTGAATCAATCCACCTCATAGAGGGTCTTCCCCTCCTGCGCTGTCCCTCTACTCTACCCAGCATGATGTCCCTCTCTAAAGACCTGTCTCTCCTTACAACATGTCCAAAGTATGTCAGACGAAGCCCCAGAATCCTTGCCTCCAAGGAGCAGCCTGGTTTAATCCTCTCTACGATGAATCTGTTTGTTTTCTTGGCAGTCCATGGTACATTCAATACTCTTCTCCAGCACCATAGCTCAAAGGTGTCAATTCTCCTTCTATCCTCCCTAGTCATTGTCCAACTCTCTGATGCATAACAAGTGATTGCAAAAACCATGGCCTGTATCAGGCGGACCTTAGTCTCCAGAGAGACACTGTTGCTCGAGTATTTTGGAGAGGTCCCTAACCACAGACTTTCCCATTGCAATACGTTTTTTGATTTCCTGGCTACTGGTGCCAAGAGTGTTGACCGTGGAGCCAAGCAAACTGAAGCTGTGAACAATCTCAATCTCTTCGCCATCTTTTCTATATCTTATTATGGTTAGTACACATGAGAAACTAATGCATAAAGCAGATGTTTGCAAATCAAAACAAAAATTGTCTTGTATAATGTGCATATTATTTGTGTAAAAATACAGTATAGCCAGTGTACACATAAATTTATTTAAATGTACACTATTTCCTACTAGAATGTATATTCCATGAAGGTCAAGATATTTCTGTTTTGTTTACTGAATTCTCAATGCCTAGAAAGTGCTTGCAACATGGTAGGTGCCCAATAACTATCCTGGTTGATAGAATTGATAATACCAAGATGTAACTATTTGCCGAAGATAGGACAAACATTCTATAGCTGATTTATTGGTTTTATTACTTTGTGTTTGATGTTATGTGCCATCAACTGGAACTGATCCATAGCTGACCCTCCAGCAGATTTTCAGAGGCAGGAAATCTTATGGGAGGAGACTGCCCATCTTCTTAATATCAAAGTTTAAAAGAAAAAAAATTACATTTCCAATCAGATTATTTAGTGAATAGCTTACAGTGAAGAAGTAAGCTAAAGCAACCATCCCCAAACTACAGAACTCTAAGCAAATCCTCTTCTACTACTTCTATTATGAAATAAAAGGCTAAACTGTAATGGTAACATCTGGAAATATAATATTTACCTTTGTAGTTAGGTCCTGCTCAGCAGGAAGAGTCTCTCTTAAGGCACGAAGACCATGTTTAACCAGTTCATTCAAATTGCCTGTGTGTAATAAATTATCAGTTCTTAATTTCCTCTTCAGTCTGAAATCTTGTGTTTACACACATACTAATTATATCACAACAAAAACAGTAAAAAATTTAATATTTAATTCCTAAAATCTTTTAATAGCCATCAGTAACAATGTTAGAAATTGGAAATTCTCTTACGCTAGGTTATTAAGTCAAAGTACTGATTACATGTTATGCAGCTCAGAGTTTTGCAGAATATTTTTTGTGGAATAATTCTTATGCTGTTTTAAAAAGCTGCAAAAATACTTAACATAATATAAGAAACTCAATCTAGTAGCCTATAAAAAGGATTTTATATCCTGACCAACAAGATTGACTTAATATCCAAAAAATCAATGACCTTAAAATAGCACATTAATAGAATGAAGGGGGGGGAAATCCCCCATATTTGTCTTAACACACTCAAAAGAATATCTGACAAAATACAAAACTCTTGCATAATAAAAATATTCAACAAGCTAGTTAGAAAATTTTCATTTGATACAGGGGATCTATGAAAATTTCACAGCAAGACGCAGCCTTAACAGTGAATGTTTCCTCCAAAATATCAGCATAAAAACCAGAATGTACACTTTCACCACTTAAACATTGTAGTGTAGGTTGCAGTAACATTACATAAAAGTAAATCAGACGCACTCAGATTGGGAAGGAAGAAACAAATTATTTCTATTTTCAGATGATATGATCTTAGATCAAAAGAATCCACATACCAAAAAATGTTCAGAATAAATGAGTTTAGCAAGGTTTCAAGATACAATATACAAAAAACAATTGTCTTTCCAGATATTTGCACACAGAAAATGATAATTATGGAATTAAAGAACCAAATAAATGGAAAAACATATATACTTAGATGATAAGACTTAAGTTGTTAAATGGCAGTATTTCTTAAACTGACAAACAGATCCAAATTGATCTTTATTAAATTTATATGCAGACTGAAGTATGTTAGGTAAAGAAAAGGGGAGATTACCCAATAAGCACAGGTTTGCTTTTGATTACTTACTATACAAAAAGCTTTCACTACATAATGTGGCTAAAAACAAAGCAAAAAAGTCACATGACACTGCTCAGTACAGATTACTAAGTAAGAACAAAGTTTATGCTTCTCTTGCTTATGGAGTAATCTATCCCTACCAAAGATTATCAAGTTGAAAAGAGGCTTTGATTCTGGAGGAAGGTGCTGTGGATTTGGGAGACAGATGCCAACCACACCAAGAAGCAGAATCTTTGATACGGTGAAAAAATGTGGAACTGCTCATGGATTAAGTCTGAACAAGTAAGCCTGTGCTTATGATGCTGTTGTAAAATCAGACACTGGGCACGGGTCTCTTAAATAACTACCTCCTAATCAAAATCTCGGATGCTAAGTCTCTAATGCACTTTCCTCGGTAGAACCATCTATCATGTACAAGCCGCTGCATGCACTGACTATAAGAAAGTCTGCACTTGAATTCCTCCAGCCTGTGTCCTTTCCCCTAATGATCCAAGTGTATGTCCTACCTATATTATTACTATCTTAGTTTTGAGTGCAACTATATGCTGAAAAACATCTCCAAGTGTGGAGTAATCTTAGGGATGACTGAATCAACTGCCACAATTTAAGATATTTAACCTCTATCTCAAGCTTATCAGGCCCTGGGATTATTTGCCCCATAAGTCAAGTAAGGGCAACAAGACAAATATTTCTTTTAAATTAATTTTAAGACAATTTAAAGTCTCATATATTTCCTCTACAGAATGTTATACATTACATTAAGATGTCCTAATGTCACAAGAAAATTGGTAAGACGCCAAAGGGACATCTTAAGGGTTCTAATACTATACTCTCTTCTGATGTGAAGCAAAACACTTGAAAATCTGCCCTTGAAACAGGTAGATTTTTCAAACAGTTAAAAAAAATCTTACAACTTTTATCTTCCTCCCCACAGTTACACTGCCTTTTCACTTATGCTGTACACCTGTATAGTTAAAAACAAGAGCAAAAGGACAGAAAACGCAAAGCTGTAATGTAATTTAAAATTAGTAGCTGGTTCTCAACTCTGGTTGGGCATACATCAAACTAACTGAATCAACCATCAAAGTTGAGATACTGTGTTTGCATTTTAAAATTGCTCATCTGGTGACTGAAACTACTGTAGTGGCCCAAAGGTGGAAAATCAGCTATGTGTGACAAAACAATAAACATTCCATAGTTTTATTTTTTTAAAACCCTCCTTCTAAAAGGCTGATAATTTTATTTCTTTAGGATCACACTGTTTATTTTACACACACACACACACACACACACACATATATAAAATAAGCAAAATAAAGCAAACAAAAAAGGCTACCACTTACACTCCATAAACTCAGACATATGTCTCTCCAAGTATGTACGAGCTGATTGAGAGCGAGCACCAATGGACATAGCCCTACAGTCGAAATAGTTAGCAGATGGACAGGTCTGGAAAATGTGAGGGCCCATATCCTACAAATACAAAGAAAAAAAAATCACAGAATTCTTGACTTAGGTTTAGCTTAAAATCAGGCAAAAAAATTTAAATCATTTTTGAAAATCAGTAAAATATATATTCCACGAACTTACATCATATCCAGCAATGAGCAGTCCCACACCATACGGTCTCCGACCATAACGCTGTGTTGGTATCTGGGTCTCTTACCTAGTTAAAGAGCTTGCTCTAACAAAGATAAAGTTCCATCTTTATTCCCCAAATATGCATTATAACAAAGGCCTGTGGATTCTTCTATTATAGCTACATAATCCACTATATTAGACTAAATTAGTTATATATATATACACACACACACACACACACACACATATATAGATATTTTTTTTTTGAAAGTTTTGTGTGAGTGTACCATCAAATCAGATCTGACTGGTACAGGAGGAGATTGTCCCTCCTTCCCAGGCAGAGCATCTGGTGGATTCGAACCGTGTGCCTCTGGGATTGTAGTTGCAGCCCCTTGCCACTAGGCCACCAGAGCTCCCCTTATCTTTATTTTTAATATAATTTAAACTAAAGAACATTAACAAAATCCGTAGCTTCTTTAATTGTTGCATAATTCATCATATAGGACAGAGGAGAAAGTAAGACACAGTAGTATTTTTTTGGCTTAATGTTACACATATTTCACCCTTTTGCCCAACCCAAGAATGAATGCTACAAAAGTTACCTGTTAAAAAAAGTTACCTGTTTATGCCTAAATATGTCAATTGCTCTCAGTATAAGAAAGGGGTCCAGAGCCCAGAGCCACCAAAAAAAACCTTTACATCTCTAAAAACATCTCTCTAGTTTTCCTGAAATGAGCCTATATATGCCTGCAAAATAGCAAGAGTCAACCCAATTCCCATTCTTCCCAAGGATAACCCATCACAGCCTACAGGTACTACGTGGAGATCCATTTCACGATTCAAGTAAAAAGTAACTAACATTTTCACAAGAATAAATATCTAAATTCTTTAAAGTTCATATCCCTAAATGGTAACATAAAAAGGATACTACTTCCGATTAGAGATACAAGACGAGACACAGGAAGAGGTCTGTCAAAAACAAATCTTGAATCCAAACACTCTTGGCGCATGAAGTTACTGAAAAAGAAGCAAGCTAGTAATCTTAACATATAAAACAACTCCAATCGAAAGAAAATAATCTGGTATCACTTTGCTTTCTTCTAGACATTTATATGCATTGTAAGGAAACCAGGAAGGCTACAGGGTTTTATTTTTAGAATAAACTCTAAGGCTATATAGTAAGGAGCTCTGGTGGCTTAGTGGCAAGAAGCTGCACTGCAATCCTGAAGGTATGGGTTTTTTTCTGTGCCATGAGCTGATCCTTGGGAGAATAGGCAATCTCCTCCAGTGTGATTAACTGCCTCTGAAAACAGGCTGGAGGGTCAGCTATGTGTTGGTTCTGATTCGACAGTACACAACAACAACAGGCTATATAGTACACTACTACAAGTAACTCATACTTGCTTGCCCTAGCTTTGAAAAGACTGAACTATCATAATCACTTTCACTCAAACTTGCACGTAGCTTTTACATAACTGAAAAGGCTCTGCGCATTTTATGCCTCTGTTTGGACTTACCTAAAGATTAGACACATTTAGGAATGACCTTATTCTTAACCTGGAGATTGCCTATACTGCTTTTTGAACAGTGCTGGTCTAAAGGGTTTTTTCTTCTGTAGTCCATGAAAATTGTTTATAATTTTAAGAGTGGACAGAAATCAACATTATCACTTTATTAATGACCTAAAAGAGCATGAGGGAACCTGATGGCTTAGTCGTAAGGAGCTGCGCTGCCAGTACAAAGATACGAGGTTCAAATTCACCAGGTGCTTCTTGGGAGAATGGGCATTCTCTTCCTATGCAATTTACTGCCTCTGAAAATCTGCTGCTGAGTCATCTATGAGTCGGTTCTAATTTGACAGCACATGACAATAACAAGAGAACATGGGTCTGGCTAGGTAAGTTAAAAAATCTTAAACAGCACCACTGTTTTCTCTTAGTGTTTACGTTTTTTTCCTTCCTGATCAAATCATGAACTTAAAAGACAAGTGTTGTCTATCTCTTACCTTCCACCACTCTCACATACTTATACCTGGAATGTATTCTGTTTAGTGTTCTACATGGTAAGACAATAATAACCTTGAGGGGAAAAAAAAAGACTATAGAAATGCAATGGGAAACACAGGAACTGAATTCAACTGACGTGATTTCAGAGACCTGGCTCTTCTTTATTTACATATATCAAACTCTTACAGACTTTCACGAAGTTTACTTGTTTAACAAACTTTAAAAAAACCCGTCCTTTTTCTATCCTTTGTTATAGTTGTTGTGTTTTGTCAAGCTGGAACTAACTCATAGCTGACCCTCCAAAGAGTTTTCAGAGCCTAGAAATTACAAGATCGACCCCTACCCATCTTCCTCCTGAAGATCAGATGGTGGATTTGAACGACGTGCCTTAGGTTAGCTGAACAGCTCCTTATTGCTAAGACACCAGAGCTCCCTGTTACGGATATTAGATGCATTATACACAAATAGATTTTAAGTGTCTTGCAAATAAGATTCACCTATGTATTCTAGAGTGTACACTGCTAAGCTTTATAAAAAATAAAAATCTAATAAACACTGGTAAAAGTAGGGTGGTTCTGCTCACACTCAGAAACCAGAAAAAGGAGAAAACTCTTAGTCATAACATAATCTCAAACAATATACATTGAATTAAAAAGTAACATGTTATTCAATTTCTTTTCTAAAGTGTTACTACTGATATGGTTAATTCTATTAGTTATTATACAGATACCTGAAAATGAGATACAGAGTAACTGATTCCAAATCCAGTAAGCCTACAATTTTAATTTACAAACATTCTGGCAAACAACTTCCTAAAATCATTCAGCTAGAATTTTCTAGAAATATGAATCAAAAGCAATATTTCTTTTGTTTTTCATAACTATACTCACCATAATAATCTAGCATCAGCAGTAAGCCCCGCAATTGAAATTCCAATATGGTTGTCAACATGAAGGATTTTTTTCTGGTGAGCTGCAAGCTCTGACTGTGCCCTCTAAATAAAGATATAAAACACAGAAATAAGTTCATGATGAACTAAGGAAATAAATACCAAAGGATTATTATTAATAGTCAACAGGGGTGAGAGGGAGAAGGAAATGTGGTATTTTTATTGGGGAGACACTGAGTTTATATTAAGGGTAGTAGACTGTTTTATAAAAGAATAGTGATAATGCTGGCACAACATAAAAAAATAATTAGCACCAGGGAATTATAAATGTGGAAGTTTATGATCTTACTTCTACACAATGAAATTTCTGTTTGGTAGTTCAGTTTCTAAATGAGGATGTTTTACCTTTAACGCAACCAATACTGCATGGGTTTTTGATTTCAAACCAACTGTGGCTGAACCTTGTTTAACAGCTTCCATTGCATATTCAATTTGATGAATTCTGCCCTGAAGAGAAAAAAACAACACCCTTTAGAATGTTGCTAGAAGATTCTAAGGTACAGCTCTCAAACCTCAAGTAAGCATATCAAATACCTAAAACAAAATAACCAAAAAAAACCCCTGACCTTCCAAAAGAAATTTTAATTCAAAATCCCACTAGAATGTCTTTGATTATATTCCACTTTCTCATAGCATAAACTCTCATACTTTTCTAAACATATTGTAGAAACCAAAAGGCAAATGCACAGAAATCGCACATGACTTATTTTACCTGAGGACTCCAAACAGTGACATCATTGTCATATTGGTTGCGAAACTGAAAGGAAAAGAAAGAAAACCAAACCAGCTATTATTATGAAAGCACTGCAAATGCCAGCTAACACGCTGTCTCTTTAAGAAATGTTTTCACTCCATACACAATTTTGTGAATAAAACAGTAATATGATTGCCACTGTCCTAAGATACAAGTCAGTTCTACAAACATTTGCCATCCTAGAGAGCGTGCAAATCTACTGCTCAGATTCTCCCAATCTCCCGTTCATAGTACTCCTTTTTTCTAATCAAATCCATTGCCATCAAATCAGTTCCACCTCATTTATACAACTTTCAGAGATGCTTCCAGGCCAGTTCTCTACTTTCTTCTCTATTCCACATATGTTTGCTTACACTGGACTCTTAACAGAGAAATAAAATCTTGCTTTCTTTAAATTAACTCAACTATCTCTTCTCTGAATTCTTTTCTTCTTTTCTCCCCCGGAACACATTCCCATAGTTCTTTATGTAAACTTTCCTTTCAACTTTATGATCTGAAACTAGTCTAATTTATTTCAGAACCATGACTGCACTTAAAGTAGTGCCCTGTGCATATATTTAGATTGAATAAATGCAAAAACGCTCTCAGGAAAATGAAAGTGAACACAAATAATTGAAGCAACAAAATTATTACTGCTGTAATGGCAGCCTTAAGACAAATCCATCAGCAGAGGGCCTGAGAGAATAATTTAGGGGGTGAGAAGGTTGAGTGCTGGAATAAGACAGGTACTGTACCCGATTCTATCACTTTTCTTATCTGTAGAAATAGGTGGTTAGATAAAATTACCGAAAAGGGCCTTTTCAAACTAAATCCTAAATTAGAGTAGGAAGTGCAAGCCCAGAATACAAACTGGGCCTAATTCCACCACTGGCCATAGTGGGAAGCAGAAATATCTATGTCTTCTACTTGTTCACACAAAGAGCAAGGTGGTTAAAAAAGCTCGGCCGCTATGCCAAAGGCTGGCAGCTGGAACCCACCAATCTCTCTGCAGGAGAAACATGAGGCAGCTCGAATCTGTAGAGATCTGCAGCTTTGGAAGGCAAAGGCGGTAGCTGTACTCTGCCCGACAGGGTCCCTATGAGTCGGAACTGACTGACTAGATAGCAGAGTTCTTTCCCACCCTGTATAAAGGCTCATTCAGAACTGCTCGTAATCCACACCTAAGGGCCAGGCTCAACTAGATGACCAGGAGGTGTTCACGGCACCGCAGAAATGAAATTAATGCCCGGTGCAAAGGCCGCACTGACTCCCGACAATCCCTCTCCAGGCCTGGCCGGAGATGCTGAATCACTGTCTCGGCTCTCCCGTCGGCGAGGTTCCCTTGCTTTGTGGCTCCGGGCCATTCTAGGTATGGCAAGAAAGGCGGTTGGCAATCCCCAAAGACCCTGGGCCTCTGCTCCCACCCTGCCACAGCTCAAGGATCAACACACCATGGTTTCGGGTAGGGCTTCTCTGCGGCCTCCAGCAAAGATGCAGATCAAGTAACGCGGACCAAACTACTGTTCGGCGATCGACAGAGATGCCTACGAAATTTGGATGGCGGCTGCGTAGGGCAGGGCAGCCTAATCTATTACAGAGACATCGATAAGCTCCAAAGCTTCCGGGCCCTTGAAAAATAACAGCTTTTTCCGGGGTGGGCGGGGCCTTGGAAGATCGAGGAACTGAGATTGGCAGGAATCCTAAACAGGAAGTGCTGCGGGGGCGATCAGAGCTGCTGAGCGACCTTTAATTTATTTCACTTTTCTCGGTCTCAATGAAAGTCCCTGTGTTGCCGATTCCCGCCAGTTTTACCGGCCTGAGCTAATACCCATGAATTGTGGAAAGGACCGTTTGTCTGTGTCGACTATAACCTCCCTCTAGTGTCTTGGATGTGGAAGTGTTTTTCTTTTTTACTCTGGGATACTATATTCCCTTTAGTGTTCATCTTTCAAGACCCTGTTATGAGCATCTTTACCATAAATACTGATTTCTTACACCGGACTTTGAACTCTTTGAGGCCACTAAAGAATATCTGTGCCCTTGAAATCACACACGATGCCTGGTAAATTAAAATACTCGCTTCTGTCCAATCTGTTTCAACTCATAGCTGACCCTCTGTAGGGTTTTTGAGGTGGTAAATCCTAACGGGAGGAATAGTCAAGAGTTAAGGATTTTATAGGCCAATCTTGAGTCTGCAAATGAAGTAAAAAGCTTACACCTTCGAGTTCACAGGAATTTCGTGTCAGACTCTAGGTCTTGGGCCATACTTCTATAAACGCCTGACGTTTCAAAATTTGGGACTGCAAATTTGTCGTGCATGCTTTCACTTATTCTTTCTTTAGACTGTCTCGCTGCTGTTAAAAAACGGGGGAGGGGTGGATTGGGCAACAATGAAAATTTTTTTAAGAGAAAAGCGAACTGGGGGATGTAGAGAGGAAAATATGCAACAATGAATGAATGGAAATACAAGCTTTGTCTAAACTTTCATTGAAATCTCAATTTAAAAAAGGATTTCAAAATACTTTAATATATTAATTAAGAAACAAAACAAAACAAGACCATTAGAAAATGTAAAAGGAAACTACTGACTCCATTCAATAGATAACAGACCCATTGTCTACAGTGACACTATGGAGAAAAAAAACCCAAGAACAACAATAAAACACAACCTATGAGTGGGAATCAACTCGTGGCTAACTTCAACAGGATTTCGGGAAGCTGTAAATCACATCAGAGGAGGGAGGTCTGGTGGCTGCAATCCTGAAGGTGCCACAAGATCTCTGGAGAAGGAGGGGCAGTCGGATTCGGATTGGATTCTATGGTACACACGCACACACACTTTGGACTATACAATCAGAGCTCCCTTAGTGACCCTGTAGAGTGGACTTGCCCCATAGGGTTTGCAAGATTATATTCTTGAAGAAAGCAGATTGTAACAACTCCGAATACTCCATTAACATTTTTGTTGGCAGCACGTGCTTTAACCACTGCACCACTAGTTCTCAGCTCAAAGATAGGCACTAAATTTTTCATCATTATTTCAGGTTTTGGTTTTAATTCTTTGGACCATCTATAACATTTGATAGCATGTGGTAATAATACACTCAAACTTTTCCCATTTATTAACAGTTTTCGACCTTAAACTTTACTCTTGAGCATTCTGCATTTTACTGTTTTACTAGCAAAAATCCTCTGATGCTATATATTTATTTTTCCTTTCTAATAAGCAGCTCTTAATTAGTGTGCGTGTGTGTGTGTGTGTGTGTGTGTGTGTGTGTATACACATTCTTTTCTTTGGAATCTGACATGTATTTAATTGCAGTCCCGCCCCCCCCCCATGTTTTTGTTATGTAATGTGAGTTGACTGTGACTTACAGTGACCCTATGAACAACATATCTGATCCTAGCCCTGTCTTGTGCAATCCTTACTATCTCTGATCTGCTTGAACCCATTATTACAGTCACCCTGTAAATCCATCCTGTGCAGGGTCTTCCTCTCCTATGCTGACCCTCCACTTTTCCAAGCATGGTGTCCTTCTCCACGGACTGGCCTTTGCTATCAATGTCTCCAAAATATGTGAGACCAAGCTTCACCATCCTTGCTTTCAAGACCCCTGATTTCACTCTGCCCAAGAGACAGTTGTTTGTTCTTTTGGCAGTCCATGGATATTAAGTACTCTTCTCCAACACCACAGCTCAAAGGCTTCAATTTGTCTCCTGTCATTCGAAGCCACTGTCCAACTTTCAGATACATAGCAAGAAATAAAAAAAAAAACCCAAAACCCAACAACAAAACCTGATGGCTTGAACAGGCTTATCTTAGTCTTTACACAATGTCCTTGCTCTTCAGCACTTTGGAGACATCCCTGAGAGGTCCCTTCCAGCAGATTTTCCCAATGTGATGCTTCTATTTGATTTCTTGACTGCCAGTACCAAGGGTGTTGGTTATGGATGAAAATAAAATTATATCCTTGACAACTTAAATCTTTTCTCCATCCTGATGTTGTCTGTTGGTCCAGTGGTGAAGATTTTCTTTTTCTTGATGTTGAGATGTAATATATATTGAAGTTTATAGTCTTTGATCTTTTGCAGAGGAGCTTTGAATCCTCACTTGGGGCAAGCAAAATTGTGTCATATACTTAACTCAAGTTGTTGATAAGTCTTCCTGAAATCCTGATTCCACATTCTTCTTTATAAATCCAGCTCCTTGTACGATTTGTTTAGCCGACAGATTGAATAGGTATAAAGAAAAGACAGCCCTGGAAAAATACATGTACATAAAAATGTAATATAGAAGCCATGATCTAATAAGCAAATAGTTGTAGGATTAAGGATGAAATGCAACACTCACTGATACTGACCCAGCTTTAATCAGATGTAAGTGGAGTGGGGTTCTCCCAGAGTGTGGTCTTTAATTTTTTTTTTTTTCTCTCACTGGAGTACTGAATATCTTCTGGGCTGCCAAAACAGTAAGCAAGACTATCTCGGAGGAACTGCAGCCAGAGTACTCATTAGAGGGAAGGATGGTGAAACATCATCTCACAAACTTTGGGCATGTTGTCTGTCAGGAGGGACCAGCCACTGGAAAAAGGCATAGTGCTAGGAAAATTGGAGGGCTAGAGGAAGGGACGAAGACTTTCAACAACTGTAACAATAGGCTCCAGCATATCAGAGATAGGATAGAGAAGGTTAGGGCTATGTTTAGATCTGTTGTTTATAGGGTTGCTATGAGTTTTGGTCAACTTGATGGCACCTAAGAATAATAACATCTCACTGGAGACAGCCAAATGAACCAACTGAGAGGGGCAACCCTTAGCAACACTAAGAAATAGTCACCATAGTGTAGTGCTTCTATCTGGACTTGGACCCTTGTTGTTGTTGTTGTGTACCATTGTGTTGGAACCAACCCACAGCTGACCCTCTCTGTGGATGGTTTTCAGAGGCAGTTAATTTCACTGAAGAAGATTGTCCATCTTTCTCCAGTGGGACAGAATTCTTACTAGACAAAATTCTTGACACTGAAAATGTCAGAACACAGGGAGGTCTCTAGGGAACTGTAGGCCTTCAGCTCCTGAAGGAAACAAGGACTTTCCAGACAAGAGGGTCTTACCCTAGAGCTTGCACCCTAAATTTGGATTTCCAAGTTCCTAAACTATAAGAGAATAAATTTATTATTTAAAGGCATCCACTCGTGGTATTTATGTGTATAAAAGCATTTTTGTTGTTATGTACCATTAAGTTGAAACCTACCTATAGCTCACAATTCAGAGGAGTTTCAGAGGCAATAAAATTACATAGGAGTAGATTATCCAATTTTTTCTGTGGAACAGGTGGTGGATTAGAACCATGTGCCATCGGGTTGGCAGCATAGATTCTTACCACCAGGCCACCAGAGCTCCCTATAGAAGCATTAGGTAACTAAAGCAGAATAAATTACTAAAAAATGAAATTACAGGATCAAATGCAATGGATATTTGTAAAGGTTTTCATTTTTCTATGTAAATGGCTTTTTTTTACCTGTTTATACTCTGCAAATAAGAACTCTGGTGATACAGTGCCTCAGGTGTACTATCAAACAAAATCATTTATTGCACAAACAAGCTAGATATTTCTGAAGATTACCGAAAACTGACTGGAGCAGTGCATGTACAGGACACTTCTAAAAACTTAAGGTAGGTTTAGAAAAGTCATGGAATAATGACTATCGTTGCTGATGTCCAATGGATGTTGGATGAAAGCAGAGAATACCTGTAAGACGTTTATTTGTGTTTTATTTGCTGTACAAAGGCATTTGCCTGTGTGGATCATAAGTTATGGCTACCTTTGAGACTAGCAACTTAGTTGTGCTCATATGGAACTGTGCTCAACAAGTTGTGCTAAGAAATCTGGAAAACAACCACTTGGCCAACTGACTGGAAGAGGTCTATATTTGTTCCCATCCTAAAAAAGGGTGACCCAACAGAGTGTAGAAACTATGGAACAATATAATTGATTTCACATGCAAGCAAAATGCTACTGAAGATTATCCAAAAACAACTGGAATAGCACATCAGCAGAGAACTGCCAGAAGTCCAGGCTGGATTTAGAAGGGATCGTGGTACTAGGGATATTGTAGCTGATGTTAGATGGATCTTAGCTGAAAGCAGGGAATACCAGAGGAATGTATATCTGTGTTTCATTGACTGTGCAAAGGTGTTTGACTGTGTGGATCATAACAAACTGTGGCTGACTCTGAGAAGAATGGGAATCCCAGAACACTTGATTGTGCTAATGTGAAACCTATACTTGAACCAAAAGGCAGTCGTGAGAACAGAGCAAGAAAACACTGGATGGTTCAAAATTGGGAAGGGCATACACCAGGAAG